TCCTCCCTACTTGGTGACCTGTAACCATTTTCGCTTTTCCTCCAAATTCTTTTCCAAGCTGTAGTCTGCAGCCAGGGTTAGCTTTTCAAACTGTATATGTGATAATGCAATCACATATTTTTTATGTGATTTTTTTTAACCCAACAAAAACCTATTCTGTCCAGCCAGAGGACTAGGAAACAGACAGCCTAGCATGGCAGAAAACATTTAGACAATAATCCCTCTTCTACAAACACCACAGAAAGAGCTATGGCCCCAAGTGGGGAGTCTAGACTTCCACACATGCCTGGCTGTAACAAGATGCCCAAACCTGTGCCAGAGTGAAGTTAGAGAAGACCGAGGAGGAACTGGAACTTTCATCCCCACTTGAAAGTTTAAGACCCTCATTTTCCCCCCACCCCACAGAGTTAGTGGCAACCAGATGGGGAGCCTGGACGTCCTCCCTCATCCAACAGTATCGAAGCACTCCCTCCTTTCCATACTGGGGTGGTGTCAGTGGAGACTACACGGAAAGTAGTAACAAGACACCCCTACTCCTCCCAGACAGGGTGATATCAGTGGAGGCCTTGTGGGGAGCCAGAATTCCATCCTTCACCAGGCAATTATGGGGAACCCCTCCCCTGCTTGGGAGTCAACACAAGTTGAGGGGGAGACCTTTACTTCTGCCCCTACCTGCCAGTAATTCAGTACCCCCACCTTTTACCTGCTGGAGTAGTATCACAGAAATCCAGCTAAGACAGAAGATTTAAACAAGATCCAGAGCCTCTAATACCTAAAATGTCCTGTTTCAATTGAAAATCATTCATCATACTAAGAATCAGGAAAATCTCAACCCGAATAAAAAAGACAATCAGCAGATGCCAGACGAAAAGGCCAGAGATATTAGAATTATCTGACAAAGAGTTTCAAGCAGTTGTCATAAAAATGCTTCAATGAGCAATTATAGACATGCTTAAAACAACTGAAAAAAACTCAGCAAAGAAATAAAAAGTCTTAGCAAAGAATCAAAATCTATAGCAGAACCAAAAGGAAATTTCAGAACTGAAAATTATAATAACCAAAATTTTTAAACTTAATGGAAGGGCTCAACAGCAGAGGAAAACAATCTGTGAACTTGAAGACAGAACAATAGAAATGACTCAATCTGAACAACAGAGAGAAAAGAGACAGAACAACAAACAAACAGACAACACAAAATACCTATCAGATTCTCAGGGTCCTGCAGGAGTATAACAAAAGGCCTAATATTCACGTCATCTGAATCCTAAAAGAAGTAATGGCTGAAAACTTCCCAAATTTGGCAGAAGACATAAGCCTAAAGATTCAAAAAGGCAAGCAAATTCCAACCAAGATAAACCCAAAGAAATCCACACCAAGACACATCATAGTCAAATATTTGAAAATAAAGACAAAGAAAAAAATCCTGAAAGCAGCAAGAGAAACAACTTATCTATAGGGGAAAAACAATACAAATAGCAGAAAACATGAAAGTCAGAAAGAAGTGGCACAATACTTTTTAAGTACTGAAAGAAAAGAACTGTCAATACTGATTTTCATATAGTAATTTTATCTCTCAGGAATGAAAGGGAAATAAAGACATTGGATAAAGGAAAACAAGAGTTTGTCACCAGCAGATCTACCTGAAAAGAATGGCTAAAGGAAGTTCTCTAAACAGAAAGAAAATGATGAAAGAAGGAACTTTGGAACAGCAAGAAGAAAACAATGGAAAGGGGGAAATATGGGCTGATAAAATACATCTTCCTTTTTCTTTTGAACTTCCTAAGTATGTTTGACAGTTAAAGCAAAAATTAGCTAATACCTTCTGATATGGCTGTAAATGTGTGTAGAGAAGTATTTAAAACAATTATAAGCAGAGGAGGGTAAAGGAAGACATACAGGGAGGCAAGATTTCTACAGTTCACTCAAAGTGGTAAAATATTGACCCTCTTAGACAATGAAAATGTATGTGTATATAATGTAATACCTACAACAACCACTAAAAAAAAAAGCTGTACAAAGAGATACACTCAAAATACTATAGATAAACCAAAATGGAATTGTAAAAAAATATTCAGGTAGCCCACAGGAAGGCAAAACATAGAAAATAGAGAAATAACAAGATAAACAGAAAACAGAAAGTAAAATGGTACACGTAAGCTCCAAACATATCAATAATTACATTAAATGTAAATGGGCTAAAGTAAACCAAAATGCTTGAAAATTGGGGAGGTTCTGGACTAAAGAAACAGAATAGCCTACACCAGTATAAAAATTTGCCCAATATTTGTATTTATATATAAATTGCACACACTTTATGTAAACCCATCTAACATTGTTCAGAATAGGATAACACCTGTCAAGGGCCACCATCAAGTCTCTTTCAGACATCTAAGCACTAGAAAATTACTGAAAACAAAAGGTTACAGATTCTCAGAAAAACCACATCCTGTAGAAGCACAGCCAGCCCACGTAAAACCATGGACCAAAACAGATGTGAACCCCCTCCTCTTTCCTGCACCTTGCCCTTTAAAGCACAATAAAAGACTCACCCCCCCACCCTTCAGGGCCAACACCACTCTATGCGTTTGGCCCCTCTCCTCCCTTGGAAAGTGAATAAAAACTTTCTTTTCTACCCTTGTTAATACTTCTGTGAATTCTTTCACAACCCATGTCAGCTCACCTAACATTTTATGTTAAATATTATTTAATATTTTGTATAATTAATTTTTGGTACAAATTAATTAATTTTGTACAATTAGTAATAGCATAGAGAACTTGTACACAGTGTAAATAACTCATATAGAGCTCTCAGCTCAGGCCAGGCCTTCAGTGGTAGCTATTATTACGAGGACAGAAACCGGGTAGGGCTTCTCATCATTTGCAGCACGATACTCTCTCCAGCCCTGAGTCAGCCACATGATCATGAGGGTAAAAAACTGATAGACTTTACAACCATTCCGTATGCATACAGCCATTCTGTTTTTCACTTTTGGAACAGTATTCAGTAAATTACATGAGCTATTCAACGTTTCATGATAAAACTTGGCTTTGCCCAATCAGATGATTTTGCCCAACAGTGGCTGACATAAGTGTTCTGAGCACGTTTAAGTAGGCTAGGCTAAGCTATGACATTCGGTAGGTTAGATGTATTAAATGTATTTTCGACTTAGGATATTTTCAACTTACAATGGGTACTGGGTGCATAACCCCATTGTAGGTTGAGGAAGATCTTTATATACTCTTCCTAAGTGACCTCTCTAAACCCATAACTTCAACTGCCACTTACACCAGGATCAGTAAATACTAAGCAGACATGCTACACATTCCCCCTTCAACCAATCCCCCAGTTTGGCTGGACTCATCTCTGTCCTCTAGGTAACCACTTAAACTGTGCAGCTGGAATTTGAAATGAAAACTTTTTTCCATTCTGGATAGATACGAATGAGTGCCTATTTTGAGTCCACTAACACTTTTTCTTGGCTAAATTTCACAAATCATTCCAATAGTCCATCATAAAATTCCATGCTGAAATCCACTTGAAATTAAAAAGAAAATGGGAAGAGAAATTGGAAAAATAGTCACTGACAGAACAGAAATAGTTTTATATCCTTAAAAGAGATCAATGGAGGCCTTGGAACTACTTTCCTATTTAGATGAAAACCCTGAGACAAGCGGCTTGATGGAGCCAGGCTAAGGAATCCTCAAATATGATGTGCTCTGGTACAAGCCTATGTGACAGATCACTGATAACATGGAATACTTCTCCCTGAGGCAAACTAATACACTAATAATTCTTTACATTAATGATCCCAAAAATCATTGTATTATTTGCTGAAATATATTAAGGAGCAAAAAGGAAATTTCAATTGATTTGATATAACTGACTCATTTTATAAGAGGAAGCTGGGGTTCACAAGGGGCAGAGATACAACTGGTAGAATCTACATCTCTTCACTCCCAAGTCTGCCCATCACTCTAAACTTGTGCCATTTTAGTTTGTCATTTATACTGTGGCATATACATACTGTGAAGTATAAATACGTGAAACCAACTAATTTTACATAAACTCACCCACTCCCTTTTGCAAAAGATATAGTGTAAACATAAAGAAAAACATGGGTGATTGTTTCCATCCCCCACTGAACCAAACCAGTTCTAGAGTAAGATGTTCTCTGCTGTCTGTGGCATGGCTTCCCAAAGATGCTCACCTGTTAATTCCCAGAACCACTGAATATGTTCAATTACATGGTAGAGGGGGAGTTAAGGTCATTAATCAATTGACCTTGAAATAGAGATTATCCTAGGTTATCCAGGTGGAGCTCAGTGTGTCCTCAAATGTGGAAGAGGGAGGCAGTAGAGTCGGTGTTGGTGACTCTGTGATGTACTGTCAGAATCAACCGACCTTTGCTGGCTTCAAAGATGCAAGATGGCCAAGGCAAGTGGGCAAGAAAATGGATTTTTCCAGAAAGGCTTCAGAAAGGAACTCAGCCCTGCCAACACATCGTTTTCAATCCAGTGAGATGCCTTTCAGACTTTTAAGCTACAAAACTAAAATAATACGTTTATGTTATTTTAATTTACTAAGTTTGTGGTAACTTGTTATACTAGGAATAGGAAAACCAATATACTTTCCATAGGCTCATTTCACGCTTTCCTGTGGTCATAAGGAGTTGGCGCCTGATTGTAAAGTATTTATCAGAGAGGAGTAAAATGACTATTGGTTCTAAAACAAGGCAACTAAGCAATATGTTGCCTCATAGGGCTTCCCTAGTGGCGCAGTGGTTGAGAGTCCACTTGCCGATGCAGGGGACACGGGTTCGTGCCCCGGTCCGGGAAGATCCCACATGCTGCGGAGCGGCTGGGCCCGTGAGCCATGGCCACTGAGGCTGCGCTTCCAGAGCCTGTGCTCTGCAGCGGGAGAGGCCACAACAGTGAGAGGCCAGCGTACCGCAAAAAAAAAAAAATATATATATATATATATATGTTGCTTCATAAAATAAAAACCCCCTCTCAAAATTTAGTACAAATGAACATTTATTGAGCCCATATTAGATGGGACATGGTTAAGAGTTGCCCCTCTTCTGTCTGTGTATAATTCTTGCCACTCTGTTTATCCTCAAGTAGGTACCTCCTATGTCTCACTAGTCTAGTCTTTTACAATTATTCAAGCTCCTATAATGGAATGGAAGGCTTGTTCAGAGGCTCAGAATCTTCTTAGAATGTTGTGGTTAGTAGAGCGATGGTCGCAGGTAATGAGAATCTGCTTCATTTTCTAAACTAAAAAGCAAAACAAAAACAAAAATGAAAACATGAGTTGCCAAGAGAAACAAGAAAACCTAGTGCTCAAAAGATCAGGCTCATCTTTCTCATTTCCCACTGGGCACATGATTTAATTTAAGGTGTAAATTCCTTATTCTCCTGCCCTCTCTTTGAGCCTTAAGCAAGATACCTGCACACTGTCCAGGTATCCATTTTAATGCCTGAAGAAATTACTTCAGAAATTTCCAAAAAAGCCAGGAGTGAGGCAAAGTATTAAAACTGGGACCTCCTGATTCAGAGCTCCTAGGCTTTACAGCTTTTAATTGAATTATATATTTTATGAATCAGAAAATCTGATGCCTTTTCCTCAGGTTCTCCCTTAAAAAGATTCCATGGACTGGACTGGAATCCACATCCTGGTGAGACAGGAAATCTTGGAAAACTCAAGGGAGAAAACTTGTTTATCCTATGCCTATTTGGTGACTGAAAATCCAAACAATTAGACTTGGACGGTAAACCTCAGAGAGGAAAGAGGCTGTCTTTTTCACCTCCATATTAGAATTATAGCTGATCTCAGCACCTGGAAAGTTTTAAATTGGAATCCTTTCCCAGCATTGAAAATGGTGTCAAATCCCTAATAAGATATCAGAGACAAGAGAGAAGAAACTTACCAAAAAACACTGTGTTGTACTCGTTGCTTCCCGTGGAGGTGCTGGGCTCCTCTATAATTAAGTAAAGAAATGGTGTTTATTCACTTTCAGTAAGGATCACAGTGTGTCTGTCATTCAGCTCACAGACTCAAGTAGCCCCCTAGTAAATGTAGGACTCCACTGAGTCTATGACACGAAAACCTCCCTTCTTCTAACTGCCAAGGCACTCTGCCATGCCTGAAATCCTACCAGTGGAAATGAAACACAAGTGCACTTCATGAGAAGGATTTAGTTAAAGGGCTGGTCTCCACTCACACTTCGAAGTCCCTGAGAGAGCCAACCTTTTTTTTAACAGGCCCTTTAGCCTCCACTAAAATACAATTTCTAGATTTCTCCATCTACTATCTGCAGTCCCCTGTGCGCTTTAAGCAGCGCTGGGATACAGTCGGTCTCAATCAACGTTAGCTACTATTTATAGACATAAGAATCAGATAAGCAGCGCTGGAATACAGTCGGTCTCAATCAACATTAGCTACTATTTATAGACAAGAATCAGAGTGTTTAGAAATTTGCTTTTGTAAGTAAGGCCCAAGGGTCTTTCTTAGCAAAAATCTCAGGCATTCCCCCAGACTACTGGGGTTTGTTTGCGGGGGTAGAAGGCATTGAAATCTTATGACTTCTTGGCTGAGTGGCAGACAGAAAATTGAAAAATGATGGTGGCTTGAGAGAGGGATGGGCAGAGATAGGGACACTGCTTAATTCATGAAGTTTTTAAATCACTCTATCATCTGTTCAGTCTATATTCAGATAAGATTTACACTTAGCGTAACCTTTACTACAAAAGTTCTCTATTTGAAATGAATTGTAATCAACTGGAAAAGAAAAGGAAATTGTTAACCCCTTTTTTGACCCCACATCCATCGACCCTACAGAGACATGAAGGAGCTTGTCCTCTTTAGGGAAGCCCAGAAAGCAGGTCTCAGAGATCAGATCAGGTCAGACCTTGGGGCTGGAGCTATGCTGGTGTTCAACCAGTTGCAGTTCCTGGCGTTCTGGGAAATGCTTCAACTTTCCTCAAGTTTCAATGAACTTTTGGCTAAGTTTACTCCACCTCAGAGAACAAAGCAGCAAAAGTATCCCCAAATGTGTAAATTACCGTAGGACTTTCCTATGTAAAGAACTATAAATAAGGAAAGGGAGGCAGGGAGGAACTTTTGCATTTCTAAAGAGAGGAATCCTCACCTGTGACCTCAGTGGCTTCTTCCTTAGAGCTCAGGGTGTTTAATCCCACCTTAGTAGGCAATTCTAGGAAAACAAAATGGACGACGGGAATTGTCACAGACATATGCTGGGAATCAAGTACACTGGACAAAAGCAGCCTTTCCCTCAGAAATGTAACAGAGGGGGGAGCCTACCAGTTGCTGCCCAGGCCTCCTCTGAGGACAGAACCCTCACTTACCAAAAGTCTGTGTGTTCTCCAAATACACGTCAGTTGTTGTTTGTGCATCTTCAGTGAAGTCATGGTGCGTGGTCAAGTCTGACAGGTCAGTGGTCGACTCTAGGCCAGTGGTCGACTCTGGGTCAGTGGTCGACTCTAGGCCAGTGGTCGACTCTGGGTCAGTGGTTGACTCTAGGCCAGTGGCCCACTGTAGGCCAGTGGTCGACTCTGGGTCAGCAGTCGACTCTAAGCCAGTGGTCAATTCTGGGTCAGTGGTCACCTCTAGGCCAGTGGTCCACTGTAGGCCAGTGGTCAACTCTAGGCCAGTGGTCAACCCTGGGTCAGTGGTCAACTCTAGGCCAGTGGTCGACTCTGGGTCAGTGGTCAACTCTAGGCCAGTGGTCAACTCTAGGCCAGTGGTCCACTGTAGGCCAGTGGTCAAATCTAGGCCAGTAGTCGACTCTGGGTCAGTGGTTGACTCCAGGTCAATGGTTGACTCTAAGTCAGTGATGAATTCTAGAGGAACCAAAAAGAAAAAAAAAACTGTTCAAGTACTTTCTTGTGAGAATGTTTCCACCATCTCCGCAGCCCTCCATTCCCAGCTAGATCTTTTTCCAGGGGAAACATGGAACAGAAAAGGGGATATTGAATCAAACTGGTCTCCCCACAAGTTTCTCTTCTGCCAAGTGCTAGAATGTCCAGAAGACTAACTGCCACCTAGGAATATGCTCACTGCCCCTACTCCACCCTCCTTTGAGGGGTCGGGTTAGGAAGGAGCGTTTGATATTGTGCCTCTAAATGTGAATCAGTCAGACTGCAGTGGAATAAAATTTCAAAAACTCCGCTATATAATTCTTTCAGTTTCCTGAAAACTAAAAATGTAAGTGGGGGAAAGGAGCAAGGAAAACGGCTATTTCCAAGGTGCATAAGCAAGAATGAAATGGACTCTAAAATGGGGACTCCTACCATTTTCATTTAATGGGCTACATCTAGCTCTTCAATTTCCAGTCTGTCCCAGAGAATGCACAATCCAGACATTTTGGGTCTTGTGAACCATATAAGCATCATAACCATGAAGGCCTGATGAGCCTATCACCTGGGTCTGCTTGGGCTGCAGTGAAAGACCTACAGTCCTCATGGCTGCCTCGTCCAGCAGGTTGTGGGCACCCTGCCAAGGAGGTCAAAATCATTAGCTCTCTAATTTAGTCATTTGCTTTGTCATTCATTCATATGCAGTAAAGAACCCAAACCCAGCAGCGGATAAATTGAGAGCTACCAGAGGGAGAGCTGGGAGGAAGTGGAGGGTAAAGTCACCATTTTAGTGCAAGTGAATGAATACCCCTCCTCTTGAGAAACGGATCTGAGTTCAGGAAGGACTAGAAGAGAAAGGGCCTTTGGGGGGAAAGCAGCCTTCTTCTGGTTCAGGAGACAGGGATTCCTTCCTCTCTCAATATGACTCACAAGTTTCCGCTCCAGACCCACTGATTCCCACTGCATGTAACCCAGCCAGCGGCTAAAGCACTTTGAATCTTACTCTCCAGTAAAGTTAGAGTACACCCAAGGGCTTTTTAACCTGAATCAAATAGAGTGAAGCCTCTTTAGCACCTGGTAGTTAAGGGGACCACAGGGAAACCTCAAGAGCCCTCTCATCACCAACCCTAATTCCATTTGACCCAGCCTGACTACCTGCATGAGGTGGATTCAAAACACAACCTTAATCTTAGTCAAGCCACTCAACTTGCCCAAGGCCTCATAGCTCTCTCTCTCGCGCTCTCTCTCTCTCTCTCTCTCTCTCTCTCACACACACACACACACACACACACACACACACACACACATGCACGCCCGGTGAATGGACTTTAGCCCTCTTCTCCAGAAGACCTCCCAACGTGCACTCACCCTGAAGCAGTGCGGGGTAAGTCACCGCCAGAGCAAAGCAGGCGGAGAGGAGCAGTGCCTTCCAGAGCATGACGCCGATGCCAGGGCGGGGAGCGCGGCAGGCTAGTGGAGGTGGGGAGGCCCCAGGGTGCTGGACCGCAGCTCTGCTGGGCATTTATTACAACCTCAGGCCCAGGTCCCAGAGGAGGCATTCCTAGGGGGTTGGGAAGAAAACAGCCTCGCCCACAAGCGATGGGACTGCCCTGAAGCAAAGGAGGGGAAGGGGGGGGGCGAGGGGGGGATGGGCGAGGGGGAGGGAGAGGAAGTAAGGAAGAGTTCGGAGGAAACCATCAGTGAGGTCCTTGGCGACGTTAGGGTCCTTTGCCCCATTACCACTAGGGGCAGGGCTTCTAGTTCCACCAGATCACAACACTCCCCTCCTGACCCAAGGCTGCAAGTTTGTCCTCTAGGCTGGAGCCAAATAATGCTTTATTGAGACCCCGAAATGCCTCTGTGTGTCAGGGTGCGGGACTAAGAATAGTAGTGGGGTCTGCTGGCGACGCTGACGCTGAGGCAGAGCCCTAATGCGAACAGTCTTCTAACTCTAGCGGGTCCCTGGAAGAGAGTCGTCGATCAGAATAATAACTAGTGCAACTATTATAATAACAGAAATATCTAAAATTGTAAGATTTCACATGTGCCGCTATCTCACTGGATTCTCACCACGGTCCCATGCGGGAGTCGTGATTGTCCTCATTTTTCTGGTGAGGAGCCTAGAGGCTGAGAGACTCAATGACTCCGATTCACCCGAAGATACGCACGCTCCGCCGCGATGCCGCGAACACGCAGGACCTCTTGGCTGTGAGGACCTGGCTCCTGCGAATGACCTTCCCAGTCCGCCAGGGGGCGGCATGAAGCTGCGATGCGTCTTTGGCTGAGCACTGACTTACCCTCCCCGTAGACGCAAAGCAGGCCGAGAAAACACAAGGTTGTGGGGCTGGCTTACCTAAGTAGGCCTCAGAGCGCAGTGAAGTCACCACCGTTACCTGGACGGGAGGCCTTTACACATACCCACAACTCCCATCGCAGGGTCAAACCCCATGGGGCCTTTTGGTTTCAGTTTTCTTTACATAAAAGGTCACAGCTGATTCCTGCTCCTCAGAAACCACAGGGCTGACAATACCACTGAGGGAAACCTCTCAGTAATAGTAATAATAACAGCTAATATTTATCGGGTGCTTAACTATTGCCATAGGCATGTGTTACTTTAGCCTAACACCAAACCTCAGGCAATTTTATTCGCCTTTTCCAGATTAAGTAACCGTGCACAAAGAGGTTAAGGAACTTATGAAAGGTCACACAGTAAATGTTATAGAATCAGGAAGCAAACCTGTGGGCACTCTGATGCTGGGACCTCTGCTCTCAACCAACTCTACCGTTTGTGCCCCTGGCCCTGTTATCTCCCTGAGCTCATAGTTTTGTCCCGGGAAGTGTGGCAACTTTACAGTCTTCTCCTTAAAGGCAGAGGGAACACACGCACGCACACACACACACACACACACACATTTTGTTTTTCTGGAAACTAAATTTCCTTGGCAAGGCCTGTGCAATGAAGTGTAACCAAATACAATAGGAGCTTGGGAAGCAAGAAGTTCACAAAAAACTTGCAGGCAAACAACACCAGCAAACAATGAAAGATCAGACAATAATGCGGTAGGTCGCCAGCCAATGGATGAAGGGGAGATTTAACCTGCATCAGCCACAATATGAGAATATTTCCTACCCTAGAACACTGGAAGAATCGACTTCCCTATGTGCAAAGTAGAATCTCTGATCTCTTTGAGGAGAGCTGGACTTAGACCTCAGTACTGAGGGGACAGAAATGACCAACTTCCTCTAGAAGGTTTGTTTCACAACTCAACTACCTAAAAATATAGACACTGCTTTAGATGTTCTTCCAAAGATAATGGTACCATTTTTGTGTGCCTCAGTTTCCCCCAGAGTCAGTGGACGAACAGCTTCTTGGTGACTATTACATTGAAATATGGGAGCAATTTGGTCCCCCTTCATGAAGACATGTTATTATTTCTCATCACTTGAATATAGTTAGGTCATTACCACAGCAGGTCCCAGAGAGGTCTCTGCTAAGGTGAGATCCAATAAAATTGTCAAGTTATAATTATAAGGTGTTTTTTATTAATATGGGATTGTAGTTCTGTTTTACAGTATTAAAATATTTTGGCTTTCTTAACTTTTTCCATTGCTATCAAATTTTATAGAATTATATAATGTCAAGACTTGAAGGTATATTAAATTGTACTCAGCTCAATCAGATATCCAATGTCTTTTTTTAAAACATAAGAGTAATTTTTCCTTAAATAACATCCCTGGTAATGGGGAACTCACTACATTGAGGAGAATAGTTCATCTTTGGACAATTATTCCTTCCAATAGAGAAAATAAGTCTTCCTGTAATTTCAACCTATTTGCCCCAGTTTTGTTCTGGGGGGCCGTATATATAAAATTAGGTCCTTTTTCCTCTCTTCAGATGTCAAAAGTGGCTATCATTTTACTTTCAAATTTCTTCACCATTCTAAAAAAAGTGTAAGTTTTTTCCTGTCTTATTCCCTCACATTTCTCCAAAACCTAGCAAAGTGTCTGGCACATCAGAGGTGATAAAAATATTTATTGATAAATTAATGATAGATGACTCCTGGTCCTTAGTCTCTGATCGCATTAGTCTATGGTCTTTTGAAAAGGAAACACTGTAATTGAAATAGATTATCACAGATTTGATCTCATTAGAGAAGGGGAAAAAAAACTATCACCATCCTTCCTTCTGGAAAATATGATTATATTAAATGGACTTGTGCATTAAATGCCAGATTAAGTGCTAAAAGGCAAGTCTGGCAGAAAGTGTGGAAAGTTTCCTGAAAGCACTAAAGAAATTAAAAAGCCTTTGCATCTACTTTCTCTAGAGTTAGATCAGTTTCCGGCAAGTGGGTTGAGCTGGGAGTGAGTGACATCCTGCAGATGTGTCTCTGTCCCTTACTAATTCCCACCCTCAATAGACAGAAGCCCTGAAGCACCTGGGAGCATGGAGCCAGGAATTTGACCCAGGGCAAGTGCTTCTTCCATTCTCCATTGCAAACCCCAACAGTCATGCTTCCCTTAGGGGGAGATTTCCAGAGAGCAAGACAAGTTTCTCCCTTGAGGAACAGGGCGCCCAGAGTGGCCACCTGGCCTTGCAGATTAGATACTGATAAGGGCTAGCCTAGTATTTTAGGGCCTAGTCAAGCATTTTTCCAGCATCTGGTCAGAGACCTAGCAATTACACTAAGTATCTTGAGCAATTCAAAAGAAATCTCAAAATTGATTCCGTCTTAAAGGTTATAACCATGGATAAGTTTATTTATTTTTATGTTTATATTACAAAGGCAGTTTATAACAGGATACTAAGAACTCTAATCCAGTGCCAGAGATACAAAAAAGTTATTTACTTAACCAATGTTTACATAGTGACTGAGAAATGCAATGACTAAAGCAGAAGAGGCACTAGACAAGAGGGCAAAATCGCAGACTCTGGGGTCCAGCATCCTGGACCATGTCCTGTATATCCTGGCTCTGCCAGTAATAATTAAGCAACCATGGGCAAGTTACTTAACTCATAGTACCTCAGTTTTTTCTTTACATAATGGACATAAAAATAGTTTTTACTTTGTTGGATTGCTGTAAGGGTTAAATTAATGTATTCGTGTCAAATGCCTCGAATAAGGAAAACCATAATAAAAATTAGCTATCATTATTATTAGGTGCTGAAGATGAAAAAGGCCCAGGTCTCCAAAGAGTTGATAATATTATTTTAGGGTGGGAACATAAAGGAACATCCCCCTGGAAAGTTTCATGGGGAAGATGGGACAGTTAGAGTAAGATTCACCTGAATTTAATAAACATATTTCTGGGTTTATAGAGAGAAAGAAGGTAAACGGAGGGACTCTAGGCAAAAGAAGTAATGTGCATGAATAGTAATGTTCAAGGTGTCCCGTCATGTGAATTATAATCAATTTGGGAACACAGAGGAAAACTATGTTAATTGCTAGATTCTAAACCACTGAAGGCTGGAACCATCTTAATCAACTTTGCATTACCCACTCCTACAGAGTCTGTGATGGTTGCATAGCGATTGCCAAATAAATGATTATTCATCTGTATTGAACTGTAACATGGGGTAGGTGGGAAGGCATCATCAAATCCATCATTTCAGCAATAAAATAGTGGCTAAAAACTTGAGTTCTGGACTATGAATCCAGGTCTTTGTGAACACTTGGGCTTGCCCAAGTTACTTTATCCTTCAGAATGCAGGTGGTGATAGTAATCATTTCACAGGGTCATTATGAAAATTAAATGAGCTCATCCATGTAAACTTGTAACTAGCATATAATAAATGATCGATGATTGGCAGCTATCATTATTATAACTTGAAATGGACCTTGAAGAATAATTAAAACTGTAAGAGTGACTCTTCTCATTCAAGAGAACTTCCTGACTGGAGAACATAGGGAGAGTGTGGGAGGAAAGGGGGTGGAAGGAAAGAAGGTTGTGAAAAACAGTCTGAAATGACATCTGGGACCAAACCAAGGAACGCTTCAGAAGCTGAAGAGATGAGTCATTATTCTGCCAGCAGAAGTTCTGGTAGAGTCATGCTTTAGGAAGACTAACCAAACCTGCACAAGAAAGTAGGTCGGCTATGACACAGCACAAGCAAGAGCTACTTCAGATTGAGCAGAGTGGTGGCCCTAGGCATGAAAGGAAGGACGCAGATACTAAAGACATTACAAAGGTGAAATTAAAGGGACTTGGTGGCTGATTGGATTGGCGGGGATGGGCAAGTCATCCCCACCATAAGTTATGTATATGCTACCAAGAGTTGGCTTTAATTCCTCTAGAACATGAATTCCCAGAGCCAAAACGCCTATGCTAAAAATAAAAGGAGACAGAAGAGGAGGATGAGAAGTGTAAGTCCTGAGGTTCAGCTGAGAGTCTTGCCTGGTGGTGAGTGAACAAGTAAGAAAACACACTGTGGTGTAGCAGTAATGGATCTCACTGGGTTAGAGTAAAGTTTTAGGGCCCATGTTTTCTCTGGGGCTAGTACACATCCTTATGGGAAATTCTGAGACTGACTACAGTGTCTTTATCTGTTAAATATTTTGCCTCAAGATTGGACCCTTTTAATTCACGGTGGGGGGGGGTCCGTAGCTAATT